TAGCACTGCCATAAGCCGGCAACATATCAGCATATTCCTCGTTACTGAACCGCCACATTGTTACAACAATGAAGCTTGATAATGACGGTGAAAACACTAACAATTAAAAAACAGTGACGACAAAATCAAACGCAAATACACTTCTGGTATGACATATAGTCAAAGCTCGACTAGCAATTTATTTTTTTTTTTTTGGTGAGGGGGGAATGCGTTTACGCACCATACCATAGCCCGAGCTACGGCGTGTGTGGGACTCCAGGTTCTCTTGAGGAGACCACCTAATACCCACTAAACCCTAACCTCCGCGTGGCCCGACTCATCAGCGTCTCGGTAGGCCATGTGTTGTGCGTGACCTGCGGTCTGCTACAACGTCTCCTCAAGTGTTTCAGTTTCTGGGAACGCCGGGTTGGTTCCCTTTACCTCGCACATTCTATCGATGTCGTTAAGCGATCATCGATAGAGGGTCTGCTAGGTTCTCTTGAAACTCTTGTTTTCGAAAAATCAAGAGTTTCAAGTTCTCTTACCTATATATTGTTCCTGGTCCTGGTCCTGAAGGGTCCTGGTCCTGAAGGGTCCTGGTCCTGGTGGGTCCTGGTCGTGGCGGGTCCTGGTCCAGGTGGGTCCTGGTCCCGGTGGTTCCTGGTCCTCTGCATCCACGCCGTGGGGGGGGGGATCAACCGCGGGTTCTCCTAGTCTCCTAGTCATGGTTCCAGTTAGCGGGTGCTAACTGGGACCTTGGTCTAGGGTACCTGGTTCTGCGGTTGCGAGGCCTCTCGTCCGGATCGTAGTCCATGAGGAATCGTAGCTGCTCGTTCGGGTGGTCCTGAGCTTTCTGGAAGGTCTTCTCCGCTTTTTTCCACATGTACTCGTGAATGGTGTCCCAATGCAGGTCTCTACGCAAGGTTGAGTTTCTTACGTAGGATGGTGCACTGGTGGCGATCCGGAGTAGCTTCATCTCTAGAGCAGCAAGTCGCTTGCGGTAGCTGGGGGCAGCGTACCCCCAGACCGCGGAGGCGTAAGCGAGCTGAGGTCTGGCGATGGCCTTGATCAGCCGTAGCTTGGTCGCTAGCGGCATCCTGCTGTGTCTACCCAGTAATGGGTAGAGTTGAGCCATGGCTGCTCTGGTCTTTGCGATGACAGCTTCTATGTGGTCTTTCCAGGTGAGGGACTTGTCAAATACGATCCCCAGATATTTGACATTGTCGCTCCACTGGATATCTTCGTCGAAGATGGATGCTTCGAGAGGTCTTGCAATTCTTCTTCGTTGAATGAAGATTGCCTGCGTCTTCTGGACGTTGATGCGGATTTTCCATTTCACGCACCAGTCCTGGATGTGGTCCAGTTCATCCTGTAGTCTCCTACGGATGATCTCGGGTCGTCGATGCTTGGCGGCTATAGCAGTGTCGTCTGCATATAGGGCCAGCATTGTGTCAGCTGTCTTCGGCACATCGTGAGTATAGATGTTGTAGAGCAGGGGGGCTAAGGCTGATCCCTGGGGCACGCCTGCTTCCAGCTGTCGTCTTGTTGAATGGCATGTACCAATCTTCACCGTGAACCATCTTTGTCTTAGATAGCTCTGGATCAGTTGGCAGATGTTCGCATCGGTTCCGGCGGCTTCCATTTTGGCGATGAGTCCATCGTGCCAAACTCGATCGAAGGCTCGTTCCACGTCCATCAGGACGAGGTTGGTTGCCTCCTGGAGATTGAAGCCGCTGGTGATGTTTTCTGTCAGTCGTAGCGCGTGTTGTGGGAGGATCTGAAGCCGAATTGCTCTGGGGGGAGAAGTTGCAGTTCTTCTGCCTGCTTCTCTAGTCGCACGGCGATAGCTTTTTCGACTACTTTGCCCATCAAGGAAACCAGGCTGATGGGCCGGTAGATCTGGGGCAACTTCCTGTCCTTGCCTGGCTTGGTGAGCATTATAACCTGGGCTTCCCGCCATCGCCGCGGGAAGTGGTTAAGTCTCAGAGTGGCACTGGCGATGTTACTAGCAATAATTTCGTAATGTACTCTTTTATCTATGAGATGATGAGGACAGTAATTGAAATGTAATTATCATGTGAGCTCAGGAATCCAACACGGGCAAGTTTATCTGAGATTACGATACCTGGAATACATACCTGTCAAGTTATGGAATTAGACATTAATAGCAGTGGTTTTGAACACTTATGATAAATCGTTTTAAATCATAGCTAAGTAAAATAATTGCTTGTTGAGCCAAATAGTACAATTGTTGTAGACCCTCGTCATTAATACCCTAAGATGTTATGGTAATCAAGGTATCTGATGTCATTAACCTCAAATCCAACTGCATAAGAGGTATTTCTAATCTGTATACTGCTTGGCCCTTGCTAATTCTATTATTCTCAACAAGTGCAGGCAGTCATTTCGAAAATACGATTACATAAAAATGTAAAATTATTTCTGTGATGCGTAGCATATCGTTGGAAAGGCAAAGAAATACGGAACTTTTTGAAATAAAACTACTTATCACCAGAGGTATAGTTTTTCTGTAATCGAATTTTGAATTTGAAGCTGTTTATTCACTCCGCACTATTTCACGACTTTGGAAGGTCATACGTCCATTAATATTCATCTGATTCAGTATGCTATACAGAATCGACTCGAATTTATGTTATTATCTAATATACAGGGTGTTTCAGTTTATTGTTGCATAACTTTAAGATTCGATAGAACTTTTAAAATTAATGCATAAAGTCTATATAAACATTGGTCGAAAAATGCGTGGCTTCCGAAATACAGGGTGTTTAAATTTACTTTCTAAAATAGTTTTTTTTAAATATTTCGAACAGTATTTGATGTATAACAACGAAAATTGGTATACATGGGTTCTTTGGTACGACAAAACGAACCATGGGCATAGCTTTACTGTATCCGCTAGAGGGCGCTCTCTACTGTATCTGTAGTGCATTAAAATGACCGAAAATTTTTTCTTAGTGCAACTCTTTGCTTTTTGAATAAAAAAACTAATTCTTCGCACTTTTCTGCATAAAAAAGCTCTCATGTGAGATTTCGTTATAGTTAGCCGTTTTTGAGATATTTCGATTTTTAAAGATTCGATGCATTTTTATTTTTTATGGGAAAATGCTGTTTTTTTTTACATTTTCGATTTGGGTATTACAAGTAATTAAGATGATCGTTTAAATTGCGTTTTTAAACACAGCAATAATTCCTAACTCCAAATAAACACAAAAAAACAGAATATTAATTTGTTTAATTTTCCAATATTATTTTTAACAAATTAAATTAATTATTTACAACTAAAATGCTATTGGATAGTTAGGACAAACATACAAAATCTAAAGTAGTTGCTCGAAATGTAAACCCAATTGTTCAATACACAATTCACATCTACGAATGATCGAACGTGGTATAGCATTATTCAAATAAGGCCTTATTTCATCACATGCATTCCTCATTCTGTCTATTAGCATATCTCTTGTGGTTACGGGAGTCTGGTACACGTTTTCTTTTAGAAATCCCCACACAAAGAAATCTAATGGATTTAGGTCAGGGGATCGTGGAGGCCAGGCGACTGGTCCTACACGGCCGATCCATCTTTCTGGATGATTTTCGTCCAGCCAGTTTCTAACTATTCTCGAATAATGAGCTGGACAACCGTCAAGCTGGAACCAGGCCTATCTTCTTAAATCTAACATAACATCATCCCACACATTTACGACGGCGACGTGTTCCAATCCGACGTGTGTGGTTCCAGCAGGATTGGGCGACCGCCCACACAGCCCGAGCATCCATGGACGTTATTCGCCCTCTCTTCCCTGGCCGCCTTATTTCCAGGTTTGGCGATGTTCATTGGCCTCCTCGGTCCCCAGATTTATCCATATGTGATTTTTTCTCAAGGGGACACCTTAAGGCTAGAGTATACGCGAACAAGCCCCGAACTCTGGACGAATTGAAGGACGAAATTCGCGTGGAAGTCGCCCAAGTTAAGAGAGCGATGTTGGAAAGAGTCTACGCGAACTTCCAAGAACGTCTCCAGCACTGCATCAACGATTTCGGCCACCACATGCCTGATGTGATTTTCCACACTTGACTGTCTCAAATGCTATTTCCTTGTGAACCTGATTCCATTTCGAGTAAAGATTAACTATTTTATGATTTTTTTAAAACCTTAAATCCTGTCTGCCGCACCCTGTATAATAATTCAGCAAAAAAGACGAAATGAATCATATCTCGGAAACCGTAGCCCTTAGAGTATTACGGTTTCCACCAACAATCATCAAATAGCGTCCCCAGTTACCCATATTTTTTTGTCGGTTCATATATGGTAGTACTAGGAGGAATATAAATATCAAATATGTATATCAGGTTATAGTTAGGAATCAACTTGCCACCGACAATATCAATACCGGACGTAAAGGAGACAACACTACTTAATATACCACAATAAAAACAGAGAGTTGGTCTCAAATTTTTTTCCTGGGATGGGCTGTACATGAGCAAATTCCGGATTTGTAAGATACCTGGAAGAGACGCGAAAGAACTAGAGCAAGATCAGCTGTAGATTCCTTCAATACAACGACAAGAATCAAGTTCGGACTAGAAGCTTTGTTGATGTCTTACCGTCTTATGCCTGAATGTTATTATTGCATTGCGACATTACTCTGTGCCTGATTTTTGTTCCTAGAGCAAAATCTGCTTGCCTGTGGGCTTTTGTAAGAAGGTTCTGCGTGCCTTGATCTTCTCCGACGAGAAGTATAGCTCGTTCTGTTGAACCAGCCGCTGGAACCTTGTTTAGACATTTTCATTGTATATAAGAAACTCAAGAATATTAAGCCTCACGACGACGGTCAAAGATAATGTTGTTGTTTGAGCTTAATACAAATAAGCTAGTTTACAGATTGTGCATGTCTTCCACCTGACTTAAATTCATTGCGGCTTGGGAGTTAATGCAGATTTAAAAGATTTCCACTGTATCTACAAAATGTGAAGTCGGTAATTTATTTTTTCTTTTATTTCAGGCAGTGCGGCAACATGGGCTACTATGCTGACAGGTCCAAAGGTAGAGGACAACTGTACCTGACGACGAGGGATGAAGAGCCGTTTTGTGGTAAATACAAGCTAGATAATTTCAGAGAGTCGAACAAATATCTGACTGGAAACTATTCCTAAATATGGAAACTTACAGTTTTAGTCAAATGTGATCTTCAATTCAATTATGTCAACGTCAATTGTACATTCGATGACGTAGACCTTGGTGCAGAAGATTTACAAGAATGGCTGAATAATTGAAAGCATCACGCACTCCCTTTAAAATGAAAATGTGTTCACTTGTCTTTGAATTAAGTTTTTCTTTTTAGCTTATCAGTACCACGTCAAAATCGAATCTCTACCAAGCCCGCTTCCTGTAAAAAGCTACGGCAAGATCCAGATCACTGTAGTAGGAGAATCTTTGCTCAATGAAACATTTATGATGACTAGGTATGTATTGATCTCCCCGTCCAGATTTTTAGGTTGATTTCGAGTATACAGGGTGTTTCAGTTTATTGTTGCATAACTTTAAGATTCGATAGAACTTTTAAAATTAACGCATAAAGTCTATATACACATGGGTCGAAAAATGCCTGGCTTCCGAAATACAGGGTATTTAAATTTACTTTCTAAAATAGTTTTTTTTAAATATTTCGAACAATATTTGATGTGTAACAGTGAAAATTGGTATACAAGGGTTTTTTGGTACGACAAAACGAACCATGGGAATAGTTTTTTTGTAGCCGCTAGAGGGCGCTCTCTACTGTACCTGTAGTGTATTAAAATGATCGAAAACTTTTTCATAGTACAATTTTTTGCTTTTCGAATAAAAAAACTGATTCTCCGCACTTTTCAACATAAAAAAGCTCTCTTGTAAATTTTCGTTATAGTTAGCCGTTTTTGCGATATTTCGATTTTTAAGGTTCGATGCATTTTTAATTGTTTATGATAAAATAACGTTAAAAAGTCAGTATCTCGATAATTTTTAGAAGTAGGCTGTGCGTGCAAATATTTTTGAAATTGAAAGCAGAATAAGGTTAACGTCAATTAGTTGACAATTAGTTTTGTTGTCTGTTGAATCCTGAAACGTCTTTTTGCAATTGTGAATGCACGAAATCTAGTTTCTTTTACCTGTTTTTTTTTGGTAAGTTTTATAAAAATGCCATTTTTATTCTCCAATCAAGAGTTAGCGGATATTCATTTTGTGTATGGCTTTGTAAATGGAAACGCATCGGAAGCAGCCAGAGAATACGCACGAAGATTTCCAAACAGACGACATCCACTCGCTCAGTATTTGTAAGAGTGCATCGCCAAATAATTGAAAATGGTTTTGGAAATCTCCAAAGGGATCAAAACATAAATGTTCGTCAGCGCAGATTTACCCGTATGATTCTGCGTGAGTTTGATAGAGATCCGACCACAAGTGTTAGGAGAGTTTCTGGTGCCTTGGGAATTTCAGCAAGCCATGTTCACCGTGTTCTTAGAAATCACCATAGACGTCCTTACCATTTGCAACTTGTGCAAGGACTACAGCCAGGGTACGGAGAACGAAGAATCACATTTTGTCAGTGGATTCTTTATAGAACTGATAATAATAGGGAGTTTTTAAGTAACGTTTTATGGACCGATGAGTCATGCTTCACTAGACGTGGAGTGGTAAATTTTCATAATCAGCATATTTGGTCGCATGAAAATCCGCATGCAGTTCGGGAAAGAAATTTTCAGCATGAATTTAGTGTGAACGTGTGGATTGGTATCTACCGTAATCGTCTATTTGGATCCTGCCTTTTGCCTGCAAGGTTAAATGCTGCGACCTTCTTGGAATTTTTAAAGGCTTTTAAAGATTGGCCTGGTTCCAGCTTGATGGTTGTCCAGCTCATTGTTCGAGAATAGTTAGAAACTGGCTGGACGAAAATTATCCAGAAAGATGGATCGGCCGTGGAGGACCAGTCGCCTGGCCTCCACGATCCCCTGACCTAAATCCATTAGAACAATTACATTTCGAGCAACTACTTTAGATTTTGTATGTTTGTCCTAACTATCCAATAGCATTTTAGTTGTAAATAATTAATTTAATTTGTTAAAAATAATATTGGAAAATTAAACAAATTAATATTCTGTTTTTTGTGTTTATTTGGAGTTAGGAATTATTGCTATGTTTAAAAACACAATCTAAACGATCATCTTAATTACTTGTAATGCCCAAATCGAAAATGTAAAAAAAATATTATTTTCCCATAAATAATTAAAAATGCATCGAACCTTAAAAATGGAAATATCTCAAAAACGACTAACTATAACGAAAACTCACAGAAAAGCTTTTTTATGTTGAAAAGTGCGGAGAATCAGTTTTTTTATTCAAAAAGCAAAAAGTTGCACTAAGAAAAATTTTTCGGTCATTTTAATACACTACAGGTACAGTAGAGAGCGCCCTCTAGCGGCTACAGTAAAACTGTGCCCATGGTTCGTTTTTTTGTATCAAGAAACCCTTGTATACCAATTTTCACTGTTATGCATCGAATATTGTTCGAAATATTTAAAAAAATTATTTTAGAAAGTAAATTTAAACACCCTGTATTTCGGAAGCCACGCATTTTTCGACCCATATTTATATAGACTTTATGCATTTATTTTAAAAGTTCTATCGAGTCTTAAAGTTATGCAACAATAAACTGAAACACCCTGTATTAATATATAGTATTGATCTTTCGAAACATACATAACTTAAACCAAAATAAAAAACCTTTATCAAAATATAAGCAACGGAAAAAAAAACGTTTAAAAATTACTTTTCACAATTTTTGTCACTTGGAACACAACCGTCTGCGGGCGGAAGGAAGTTGTTGGAAAGCGACGTCGCCACACGCTAACGGCTTTAGGTTCCGAGAAATCGGTACTGATTCAAATCACCTTTGTTTCAAATCCCCTCGGTTTCCCCTACATATTGCTGAGTGCATTTATCTTTGATTACAGGAAAGAAGATGAAGAAATGACTTTGGGACAGTCAATTTCCAGGATAATCGTACCACATCCTATCCTAGCTCAACCAACCAGGATAGAGATATTGTACACGGCATACAGTGGATGGCTATCATCGGGACTTACCCAGTGGAGAATGGACAAAGCTACACTCATGGATAGCTTCGGCAAGATGTAAAATAATTTCTAGGAATATTGTATCTGACAGCTGAATTTTTTGACAAAGTTTTTTTTGCGTATTTGATTTTACATAAAAAGACATTCAAGGATTTTCCAGGTGAAATTTTGTGCAGCATGCCTACCTCATAAAGCACACTGTATGGATCAGAACATTTTTTGCTTTTTATAGATCTACAAGGGCAAACAAATTTTTGATCGAATTGAGATAGGCATACTTTAGCTAATTTTTCCCATTTGAACCTAACTCAAAAAATAAATATTATTGCTATCGGAGAACGATAATTATTAGTTAAATTTTGAATTGAAATTTTGTTAATATGGAAACCATGCATGGGTGTCAAAACCCAATTCTTATTCGACAAATAAAACACTGCTTTATTTGTATCTCATGTTATTATTAAAGGAACATTATTTACTAAGTATTATTTATAAAGTTTTCTTTTTACAGTCAGGATATTCCTGCCTGTGTTCTCGTACGAAACGTATTTGGAGCAGTGAGCGATAAGTAGCTCTTTATTTTCATACGTTATAACAATCGGTAGATTCTATACAGGGTGTCCGCAAAGTTGGGGTTTCTTTTTCAGAAACAACTACCCTTGAAATAATAAAGGTAATGTCTAGTGAAACGAGGGCGACCAAGTAAAAAAAAAATAAAGGAAAAAGTACTCACTCTCCAGTTGACGAGAAGGGCTAAGTACGTCTCTGCCCGAAATCATACCGCTCCAATAGAAAATAAAATCAGCTGAAGCGCTACCGACCAGACGCAGAAACCACATTGATTGTTTTACACTTAATGGCACATCTTCTAACAAGGAAGGCAAAATGTTGCGTGAAAAGTCTAGGTATTGCATCCCGTCCAATCGATTTGGGAGAATAAATGGTCCAATGAGCATACCGTTAACCATGCCAGACCAAACATTCACCGAAAATGTTTGTTGAAAATGTGCCCGACGGACAGCGTGCGGATTTTCTACTGACCAAACATGAGTGTTGCGAAAGTTATTCACCCCATTACGCGTGAACGTAGATTCGTCTGTCACCAATATGCACTTCAAAAAGTCCGGATTATTGTCACGTTGATGCATCAACCACTCACAAAACCGCACTCTTGCTGGAAAATCGTCAGGTTGAAGGGCTTGTACACGTTGGACGTGAAACGGATACAGCCTCTCTTCACGCAGCGTTTGCCACACTTTAGTTTTTGATACTTGCACTTCTCTAGCCACGTCTCTAGTGCTTGTTGAGCGATGTAACCGTCGGTTTGTAGGTTGCATACTAACCTGACACACTGACCCAGACCCAGTTCTGCCGTCGGGTTGAGACCTTGTACCTGTCGGGGATATCGCGACGGGTCGCGGCTACAGGACGGTATTCAGATATTTTTGATGTTGCAGAGCCCTTTATCTCGGTTCCCTTAAGACATTGGTGTATATGGTACTAAGAAAAATTGCTTATGATTTCAAGATCTACACGTCGTGTAAAGGAAAACCCCAACTTTGCGGACACCCTGTATACAGGGAGTAAGGTTAGTAGTGGATCGACGGTGGCCAGGTGATAGAGCACCTCAAAGCCTGTCGGATGAACCCCTATATATGTGGTCCAAAGTTTTATAGTTCAGGAGATATTTGCAATTTTGTAAAATTTCGAAAAAAAAACGGGATAATGAACTTTCAATCGCAATTACAACTAAACCTATAAGTTTAAGGCTGTAATTATATTTAGATTAGCTAAATGGTTAGCTTTGGCAATGCCTATGTCACTTTTTGGCAACGCAAAAAATCTTAAATAAATTTTTTTGTGAAAAATTTCTTCCATCCCTCAACTTTGGACGGCGGTGAAAAGAATTGAGGTTGTGTTTCATCATTCATTTTATTGTAAAATATATTAAACTCCATGCAGAATGAACCCTGGAAACTTCAGCTTGCTACGATAAGTGCCTCACCTTGAAAAATCTGTATGTTTAACACAGGTGGGTATCTATACATGTAAACAAGAAATTCTATATTACAGGCTACGGTGCAAATGACTTGATGGATTTTGACACATGAGGTACTAATCGTCCTGGTAGTGCGAGTAATACTGTGTGTATTAACAATTTGTAAAATCAAAATGGCGCATTTTTTACGCAAATAGCCAAAACAGCTTAATGAGCATTCCAGGTGCGGGAGCGTACAATCTTTGGTTTAACCGAAATTACTAAGTCAAGCAATGGCACCTAACGTTTGGCATCTGAATAGAGTCATGTCATATTTTTCGCGAGATTATGCAGAAATGCATTACTATTATGGTGCTGCCCTAGGAAATGCTCGAGCAGCTACTCGCATGTATCGGGAGTGGGTGGTTAGAAGAGATGGACCACAATCGACGGTATATCCCGACTACCCCGTTTTTCTTCGCGTCCATAATGCGTACATGGAGGGCCGCGTACTAGGCGCTCATCGTCAGCTAGGGGCGCCGAGGGTACGCCCAGAAGACAGAAGATATAATAGAAACAGCCGAAACAGATCACTCTATAAGCACCGATGCCATTTCCCGAAGCAGAAACATATACCATACTTCAGTGCACACAGTACTATGCTTGGAGAACATGCATCCTTACCATGTTCAAAAAGTACAATAATGGCTTCCAAGCGACTATGCACAACGGGTTGAATTTTCGAGAGCATTCTGTGGACAGATAAATTCCAACTTCAACCGAAATGGAACATTCAACATGCACAAGTTCCATTCGTGGAGACTGGAAAATCCACAAGCTAGTCGCCGACACAGCTTTCAACGTCACTTCGGCCTTAATTGATGGGCTGGAGTACTCCACAAAAACTTAATTGGACCAATATGCATTGCCCGCCAGATTGAATGGTCAGTCATATCTTGCTTTTCTTAATAGGACAACACAAAGTGGACAGGTTTTTTAGCGTCTTAACGTGCATCTTTTTTCAAACGATGTCATTCAATCCTGCACGGAAGAAGGCTATTTTTTGTAAATACTGATGGAAAAGCAAAATTTTTAATTTGTCACACGGTATTGAGGCCAGCCCTTCTAAGTTCAGGAGAGGTAATTATTAATTTGGTCGTAGTTGATTATTATTAATGGTGTCGTAATGCAAGTTATATTGCTGCTTTGAAAATCGCAAAAAGTGGGAGACCGTTTACTGACGGTTCACTTGTGGAGTGTGCAGAAATATTGTGCCCATCTTTGATACAATTAGTATGTCCGAGCAAACAATTTCTCGTCGGATACTTGAACTTGGTGCAGATTTAAAAGAACAACTGCGGGAAAACGCGCCCATTTTGTGCAGTATTCTATAGCTCTCGATGAAAGTAAAGACATTTCTGACACAGCATAATTAGCTGTTTTCGTTAGAGGTATCGAAATAGTCTTTACTATCACCGACGAACTACTAGACGTTATCCCGCTCAAAGATACAATGGCCGGAGAAGATATTTTTGATTCTGTAGAATACACAATGAATGACATGGGTGTACTACTCAAAAGTTTGCGTAGTGTTGCTACTGATGGAGCGCCAGCAATGTTATCGGAAGCACAAGGTTTTACTGGGCGAATGAAAATAAAAGTATGCGACGCTGGGTTACCTCCGATATCATCGGTACACTGCATATTACATCAGGGAAAACCTTCCGTAATTTCAAATATATTATGGACGTAGTAATAACTTGTGTCAATTTCTTCAGAAAGCAAAGTCTCAACCATGGCAATTTGAAGTATTTTTCAAAGACCTGGAAGCAAGTTACTGTGACATACCCTTTTATTGTGTTACGCGCTGGTTAAGCTGCACAAAAGTGCTAAAGATTTTTTTTTCTGAAATCACTGACGACGTTGAGATGTTTATGCAAATGAGATTTTTACGACGCCACCTTCAGTGCTTTTCGAAACAGAACCGCCGCAGTTCCAAATGGAGCTGATTACGCTTCAATGCGATACGATCCTTAAGGATAGATACTACCACTACAATAGTAATTTAATTTCGTTTTATCAAGGTGTTAAGCAGCAAGATTTTCCCAAAATTCTTGCACTGGCCTTGGAAACTTGCTCCATGTTCGGTAGAATAAATTTGAACAGAACTAAAAACAGGTCTTTGTGTGATGTGTCCTTAGAGGCGATACTCAGAATTTCCACTGCTGAAGCCGCTGTACCAAATATTAGAAAACTTGTTGAATCGAAACGCTGTCAAAGATCATCTTAAACATAAATGTGTTTATGTCGAAATTATGAACATTATTTTATCACCCGCGCGTTGACTCGGTCAGACCAATTCAAATGTCAATACGAATGTCATTCCACTCATTTCCCGTTGGGGCTGGGAGCCGGCGAAATTAAACCTTCTCGCGGATTCGACTAAACCTGGTAATAATATGTTGTTTTTAAGTAAATGGACAAAAAGGGCTTGGTATGCTGATCGACTTGAAGATTCAACGTGACGGTAAGATTTTACCATAGCCTGTACGTATATCAACGGTCATGACGGTTCATATTCATTTTACATATACTTTCAAACATCTAGTGGCCTGGTGTCAAACTGACAGACTCAAATGAGCTTTAAAAAGCACATATGAAGCATACAGACAGGATGTATTATTTTTATCTATTTGCATTGCCTGCTATAGCTTTCAGTCGGTACGACAGAAACTTCTGGCGGAAATCAGTTTGTCATACCATGTTTTTCCAAATGAGCCTAAAATGTCCATCAAACCTTGTAGGCTTCATTGGATTCGGTGAGGACGGTGAAATTCTCTGGTCACGCTGTATGTTTAAGTCGGTATGACAGGTACTTCTGAGCTCTTCTTGTTCATTTACTTAAAAACTACATATATACTAAGTGACATATAAACCCGAACACCCAGTTTAAATGGTTTTATTTTAATTAAATTTTGTATAAGTACTTAATGAAGCATAATAAGTAAGTGATAAAAATTTCAAAATGATTGCACTGCTTTAAAGCCCTTTGACCTTTAATAATGTGTGGATGCACCCT